GCATGAACTTTTACTCGACATTCTCCAAAAGTATGACTTGTGTCTTAATTTTTCTTGACAAATTCTCATTTATATTAAATTTGTATGAAATTTACTCGACATATTCTCGACATTCTGAATATGGTCTTAAAATTTCTTGACAAATTCTTGACATTTGAATACTGTCTTGAAATTTCTCGACATATTCTCGACATTCTTATTTTTTCTCAGTATGGCTTGACATATTCTGAACATTTTGAATCGTGTCTTAAATTTACTTGACAGTTCTGAGTTTTACAAATCATGACCAATATTCATGATATAACTTTAATCTTTATTTCTCTTTATATGATATACTGTTGTTTCAAGTTACACTTCTTTACAACAAAAATAAAAGTTGGGCATGTAAAATTATTGAAAATTTGGGTATATAAATATTTTTACAAATGCAAATATGGCTATGAAATCTAAAGTATAAAATAATTCAAATGTGGGTGTGTTGATATAAAACAATTTCAATGTGGATTTTTAAATAATTACAAATTTTGATTCCTAAATCTTATAAATTAAATGATTCAAACCAATCATACTGTAGACATATTTCATTCTACATTCACAATATTCAATGTTGATATGGTAAATAATTATTATACCAAAATGTGGTTTATATAAATAGCAAATTATGATGATATACAAATCATTCATTTAACAGAAGAAACATTTGTGTAATGTCATCTGTTGGAATATATTAAGTATTACACATGGACAGGATGTTCCCCATACAATTAAGGTATTCCACACCCCAGAGTACACACAATTGTCAAATAAAAGTTATTGCTTTACCTGTAATCAGCCATACAACTTATCAGTTGACCGACCATGCCACTACAATTTAGAAAGTTTGTTGATAGATGACAATGAAAATCATTATTTTGATGAAAAAAAAATTGAATTGAAATGGATTTTCTTCATCAAAATTATGAAGTTAATTATTTTAACATAAAAACAAATTGAATAATTCCCAAAGATTAAAAGAAAATTATTATTTACTCCAGGAATAATAAAAACAAATGTATTTATAATGGGTCCCATCAATGATTTCTATAGAAATCATCGGTCTTATGAAATGGTTCTCAAACAGACATGCATAATAAAGATCTAAACATTTTTTTCTTTTCCGGAAGGAGTTATCACAAATATTTATTTTTGATAAAAAATTATAAAATTCAACACTCAAATTTGAATAAAAAATGTTTTTGGGTTGTTCTAAAAAATGAATAAGGTTTTTGAATCAAGATGGGAACAAATTCTTTGACCTAAATGAAAGCCCCCCCCCCCCCCCCCCCCCCAGATTATACAGGAAGTGTCGAGAAATTTTAAGACAATGTTCATACTGTCAAGACACTTGTCAAGAAAAATCAAGAACCTTATTAGACAAATTCGTACTATGTCAAGAATTTTTAAAAATTATTCAGACAAATTAAGAATGTCGAGTAAAAATTCATGCAAATTCAGACAAAAACTGGTCTTTTCAGACTTTTTGACTTTTGTAGTGCTAGTGCTCATGTACCAGCAATATACCATTAGTCAACTATCTAGTGAACATGTACCAGCAATATACCATTAGCCAACTGTCTAGTTTTCATGTACCAGCAATATACCATTAGCCAACTGTCTAGTGCTCATGTACCAGCAATATTCCATTAGCCAACTGTCTAGTGCTCATGTGCCAGCAATATTTTTAAATGCTTCATTAAGATAATTTTTCAGTTATAAAAAAGGTAATGAGACATAGGTTGGAACTCTCTCAGAAAAGGTTGACCGTAGATGATTTTGGCAGGTGATTTTAATCCTTTTTGGAGTATGTTATGATCTAGAACGGCTTAAATGCAGTAAATAATGTTGCATTTGTTTGACATGTTATTACTTCGGCATCTTACGGAAAGAAACTCAAAATTCAAAAACTTCTATTATGAACAGTTTATCAGATAAAGACACAACAGAAAACTATTCAGTCGAAACTGCATAAACAGTCGGCTTCAAGTGTAAAGTAAACATCTGAATGTCCCAACTATACGTACTCTCTACTGATTACCTAAATTACAAAAAAGTCCCCACTAAGATATCTGACAGATTCACTTTAACCACTAAAAAATCTCGATCTTTCAATGTTGCAATAAAGTCCTCCAAAACCTACATGTTCATTATATTGGAGTATCAACAAAAAATTCTGGTGAAAATTTCAGAAAATCTCAATTCTATTGACAAATCAGTTAACACTGTGGACAGTTTCGATTTTTTTACCTTATACCCTCCTCTTTAACATCATCTGATAAAAAAATAAACTAAATAAAATTTGGATAAATCAGTTCTTGTTTTCATCCGTTGCAGAATAACCTGTAGGTCTTTAATCGAAAAGAGACGAAAAACATTGTTCCTGGACATGCGCAAACATGATAAAGGCTTTAAATTTCTGTTTTGCTTGACAATATATTTGTGCAATATACAAGTAGGTAGACGAACATATCATCGAAATATTGGAATTCCTATGATAATAACTGCACAACTCTCATTGCCGATATTATTCTTTACTGTTATGAACCTTCTTTCACGTAAAAACTTCGAAAAGGAAAAATTAAAAAAAAGATAGTCAAATCAATTGATATTTTTACCATAAATAACAGATACTTGCTGTTGATAATCCCGAATTTATTACACATTGTGCTTTTATCTAAAGAACATCATCTTTATAAAGCTAACAACAACAGTCATTATAAGACGAATCTGTACTGGAAAATTAAAAAAAAAAAAAAAAAAAAAAACGACAAAAGATTTCAACTATGCCATTGCAAATGTCCCTTTTTGGGTGTTCTCTTTTGTCGACTCTTATGTCGTGTACATTTCACAACTTTTAATTTTTCTAAAATATGTTCTAACGAAGCTTACTTTTATGATCATAACCTTACATAAACACAAACAGCTAATTTTATGGGGTTAGATACCACACACTTTTGAGTACTATAAAACAAATGTACAGTCGTTATCAGCTTCTTATCTGAAATTATAATTTTTCTCATAAAAAATAAATATCAGACGGCCGATTTCTCATCCTGTATTTTATTGCACTATCGTTAGCAGGACTAAGACATTAAACATGATAAAATACATTAGGGAAAAATCTTTCATCTTTCAGCAAAGACTAAAGGCGTTCTATAAAAGAGAGGCGAAAGTTACCAAAAGGACATTCAAACTCATAAGACGAAAATAAACTGACAAAGCGATGGCAAATAAAAAGAAAGAAAAAGACCAAAAGACAAACAACAGTACACAAACCACAACATAGACAGCATAGACAACACGAACCCCCACCAAAGACAACTGAATTGTAAAAATAGTTCATTCTTCCGGTGGTCGTATGCTTTAAACACTTGTACTTACATCTTACAAATGCTTACAACTTTAATTAAATTTTATGATCAAACTTCAAGAAACTACTACAATTAATTTGAATAATGGTTTCATGAAACCTGTTAGGAGCGTTCTTTCTATATTTGTTTTTCTTGAACCGCAGTATTCAACCTACAGGTTTGGCTACCTTAGCTCGCGCGTCCTGTAGTATCGAGTTAGTTTTTATCTTGCTTTCCATATACTGTCTTTTATTTCCCTTTTAAAGTTGGTGGTTATCCTGTTGGTAGTTGCATTGTGGTTTAATTGATTTTTAAGAATACTATTATGGTCTATAAAGTCAAAGATGGAGTTCTTTTCTGGTTTTAAAACAGGTTAATTCCAACCACATTAGGGTGCCCCCAATTAAGCTTTATGAATATTTGTTCAATGGCAGTTGTTGGTGGTGTTTTGCAGTGATTTTGTTCGGAGGAGTCGGTGCTGATGGTTGTTTTGTTTGTTTTACTGTCTAATATTTTTTATATTTCCTGTTATCCTTTTTGTTGTATACATCTGGCATAATTGCAAACTATGTCACGATAAAACGCACGTCATCAGGTACTACATGATCTTTTTCATTGTAAAATAAGTTTAAAACAAATAGTTGTTTCAATGCTTAAATGTCCGGATTGCACAGAATATTTCTATAACAATGGAGACTACTGTTAATATAAAATATGAAGAAGGGAGAGGAATCTTTAGACAACTCATTCGACATGCACATTTTTAAGTGTGCAACATTTCTGTGAATTGTTTTAGGATCTAGTTGGAAAACTGTTGATAATACAAAATTGGTACGCTCGTTTGAATTTTTGTTTTTTTTGCTGAACTATTACGTAGTTCAAGAGTCTGTAAAAATTGGATTACTCCCTTAAACAATTCTGTAATAGAAAGAGCACAACTTCAATATGCGTACAATCTGTTTATGCAGTTTCAATGATCTAGGTAGAACATTATAGGAGGAATTAATTACTCAAAATTGATTATAACAGTGCTTTTTAAATGTTGCTGAATATGACTATGCTCCCAAATATGTAAAAATAACAAAAATCTTTAGAAAAAATCCCTCTATAATTACATGTTCACCACTTCAATATGTGTACAATTTACCTGTGTTTCAAGGATTTGGGTTGAAAAGTGCACGAGGAGTTGAATACACAACATAGGTATTATCTTTTGTAAATTATGCACACATTTGTATGTGCAAAGGGATATATAGGTTGAGAACTATATGAATTGATAGCTTAAAAGAGGTATTCAGCGTCACTGGTGAGTCTTTTTTTAAAGACGAAACGCGCTTGTAGCGAATAAAATTTTAAGCCTGGTATCTATGATGATTTTATCCACTTTTCGACGCCCGCCCAACCGCACTGCCCGACATTTCCTTACTATGAATCAGTTTTGCACCTCTTGAAACACAGCCAAAAATATTCATTTATAATTTTTTATATGTAACAATTTTATGATTTTTGGAAAATCATTACTACCACCTGTTGCCATTGTTGATCACGCGATCATATCTATTTGTTCTAAAGTATAAATTGGTATCTCATATTTGTTTGCATATACATCTGATAAAATGTACAAACAATTTTGTGTTCCAATTGTTCTCACTACTCTTAGTGTGATAGTTACATCGCATACTATCATTAACAGACCAAAGGTTACATCTACATCAGATTCAGGTAAGATTTTTAAAGGATGTTCATTCCTGATTGGTAATATGTTTTTTAATCATGATACTCTTATTCACAACTATGACAAAAGAAAGCAACGTTATCAGACCGATTGGACAAAAAAAGATCTAGCAGTTAACATTTGAATAGAATCGATGTCAAATTGAAAGTCAGCTTTTTTGAAAAGGCGAGACATTTGAAAAAAATAGTTTAAGTTGCGATGTATAGAACGTCATCTTTTATGACTATTTTGTCTTAAGTTACACAAAATAATTTTGAAGACAAGAATTTAGGTAAAGATGAATCTCTTCAGATCAATTTTCTAGTCTTGACTTTTATAACACTGTCGATCTTATTGTACGCAGATTCTATCAGCAATACACATATACGCAATACTTTCAAAAAGTTTTCCTCATATTTTACAGGTGTTTGTTTCTATGGAGCGACTGCAGAAAGAGTACTAAATATTTTGGCAACTGGAGAATATAGACAACTAGTGCCTTCAGGTTTCAACAAAATAATTGAATTTGTATTACTCAAAATGAAAGCATTCTCTCCTTACATTAAACTCATTCCTACAATAGAGTATTAGGGTTGATAGTTATATGATTACTTTACAGTGATTAAGTCTTCAATATTAAGAACCTACTTCACTGGTGTATACGAAAACAAATGCCATGGATAACAATTGAATATCAAAGAGCTAATACTAACTGTGTATTTAAATAAACCACGTCCACTGACCTAGTATTTAAAATACATGAATCCCACGGGTTCGCTTTCAAGTTTACCAATGATATTCCTGGAAGTTTATAGAAGGTAAGATAAAGCCGCTTTCGAAATAGTATAGCTAAAGAGCGATAATGATATTAAAGTGGTAATTGTCTATTTAAGAAATTATTTCTATAATATGTTTTTAAAATAGCTTTTGTAATTCCATTGACCGAGATAAAAAAAAAGAGGCGGAAGATTTAGCAATCAAATAACTAGATCAGCTACGCCACACATACAAATGCGCATTTTCCAAGTTAATAACCTCGTCATGTAGTTATAAAACTGAGTGTTCCTGTTCTTTGAAAATATGTGTTGTTGGAATTTCTTTCGTAGTCCATCAACTTAACCAATAATTTGTCTAGACTAGGGTCGATTTGGAGCTAAGCATATTGTATAGACAGGAGTTGTTGAAGTATATATGTTGATCCCAAGACGTCTTATAGCCAATTGTGTAAAGATGTTAATATCAGTGAAAATACACCTACTTCATGTAATTGCAGTAATTCCGAATACATTTATGGACCCATTTCCCATGTTATAACAGGAGATCTTAACATCGTTCAAGACCGAGAGTTAAAATCATTCCTCAGTAAAGGACCTAAATATCGTCCCCCGTCAATTATTAATTGGAATGAGTGTCGTAATATCATCCACGACTCACTCCATACTTACTGTTTGAAATGGATAAAACGGGAAAAAGCTGACAAAAAATCTTTGGACTCTTTTTTTAAATCAGTAATGAACATAGTTGATATACGTATTCAACATTTTAAAGAACATTTTACTCTTAACAATAACCACAATAAACCTATTTCTCGTATCAAACATAAACTAAAAGAACTAGCCAAGGAATTTGTTTTTGTCCCGGCCGATAAAGCTGCTAATAATATTATTATTGTTTGACGTAAATTTTACATTGAGGTTCTGAAAAAAGAAATCACCAATTCACCAACATTCCAACTGACTCCATTTTCAGAAAACGACATCTGTAACAAACATAAACTTTTAGCTACCGCTTTACAAGCAGAACCAAATACAATGAAAGTCCCAACTATGTATTGGCTTCCGAAGCTACACAAAATACCTTACAAATATAGATTCATTTCGTCTTCAAGCCATTGTTCCACTACTAAATTGTCTATTCTTCTTACCAGTACACTTGGTACAATCAAAAACCTGATAATAAATTGTTCAAATAAGGCCTTCGAAAATAGTGGAATTAATTACTTTTGGAGTGTCAAGAACTCGTTGGAAGTACTTGATAAATTGCATGCATATATTGGTGATTTTGAATCTGTTCAAAGTTTTGATTTTTCTACCCTATATACCACATTGCCTCACATTCTCATTAAGAAAAAATTCACACACCTAATTAAATGGGCATTTAAAAAGTCAGAATGTGAATATATATGTTCAAACTCTTTTAGGTCATTTTTTAGTAGCAATAAACAAAAAAACTATGTCAATTGGACATGCTTTGATACTATATATGCCCTTGAATTTTTACTAGATAACATTTTTGTTCGCTTTGGAGATTCCGTATATCGTCAGGTTATCGGAATTCCAATGGGGACTAACTGTGCACCACTTATTGCGGACCTTTTTTTGTATTGCTATGAGTTACAATTTATGACAAAAATCAGTAAAGACCCATCGAAACAACATCTGATACACAAATTTAATAATACTTTTAGATATTTGGATGATATTTTGGCTCTCAATAATGACGACTTCAGTATGTATACTAAAGAAATTTATCCTGTTGAACTTACTTTAAATAAAGCTAATACTAACAATGACCACTGCCCTTTCCTCGATCTTGATATCTATATCATTAACGGAAAGCTTAATACTAAAATATATGATAAAAGAGATGATTTTTCATTTCCTATCGTTAATTATCCATTTTTAGATGGTGACGTTCCCTTGTCACCATCTTACGGTGTTTATATATCTCAACTTGTACGATTCGCTCGTGTATGTAACAATGTTTTAGATTTTAACGAGAGAAATTTATGTATTACTGAAAAATTATTACACCAGGGTTTTCGATATCACAAACTAGTCAAAACATTTACTAAATTTTATCATCGGTATAAGGACATCATTCGTAAATATAGCTCAACATGCAGACTTCTTATACGTTCAGGTATTTCACATCCAATTTTTTATGGAAATATTCTTTATAAAGCACAAAAATGTCAGTATTCACCTCTGAAACTAACAAAACCTTTAAATAGACTTATCAAGAAGGGATATAGTTACGATACTGTTGTCAGGTCATTAAAGATTGCATATTTTGGCGTTAATATTGATTCACTTATAGGGTCTTTGCATCGGCACTAAACACATTTATTTAAAAACCAGTTGTTGGCATGACACGGGTTATGTTCTTCTCATATATGTTATGATGGTATGATACTAAACCCCTAACGGGAAGGATTGTGCCTGATATTCATATGATGAAGACATAATCTTTCAATCAGTTTAATTGAAGTCTGGAGCTGGCATGTCAGTTAACTGCTAGTAGTCTGTTGTTATTTATGTATTATTGTCATTTTGTTTATTTTCTTTGGTTACATCTTCTGACATCAGACTCGGACTTCTCTTGAACTGAATTTTAATGTGCGTATTGTTATGCGTTTACTTTTCTACATTGGCTAGAGGTATAGGGGGAGGGTTGAGATCTCATAAACATGTTTAACCCCGCCGCATTTTTGCGCCTGTCCCAAGTCAGGAGCCTCTAGCCTTTGTTAGTCTTGTATTATTTTTAATTTTAGTTTCTTGTGTACAATTTGGAGTTTAGTATGGCGTTCATTATCACTGAACTAGTATATATATTTGTTTAGGGGCCAGCTGAAGGACGCCTCCGGGTGCGGGAATTTCTCGCTGCATTGAAGACCTGTTGGTGACCTTCTGCTGTTGTCTGTTCTATGGTCGGGTTGTTGTCTCTTTGACACATTCCCCATTTCCATTCTCAATTTTATTGTTCTGTTTTATGTGCCGTTGGGCTGCTGTCTCATTGAATTATACTTCACCATTACTCAATTATACCATTACTCATGTGATATATTGATCTCATAACATTTTAATAACAGTGCGTAAACCGAAAGACTGTTCAGATTTGGACCCTAAACATGACCCGAGTGGAGTGTATAGAATATATCCTACTACAGGACGAGGATTCAAGGTTTATTGTGATATGACGACCGATGGGGGACGTTGGACAGTAAGTTATGTGTCAATAAAATTTTATAAAAATGTGAAGATAGGTATTATATGTACAAACACTTTTGAAATATTCATATATATTCATATTTCATCAGAACTTTCAGGTTAACCAGATGCCTTTAAAAAAATTACCGTTCAGAGACTAAAATAAGATCGGACGGATGAAACCGTTTACCTAATACCAACACTTGCAAATAGTATTATACTTCTGATATTTAGACTCAGCAATGCAAAATATAGAAAGATAAGTGGATGTGTTTATGAACAAAAAAAAAAATCTAAATTATAGGGTGTTAGTGTACATCAATACGTCATTTACTCTCTCTCTCTCTCTCTCTCTCTCTCTCTCTCTCTCTCTCTCTCTCTCTCTCTCTCTCTCTCTCTCTCTTGATCTTGATAAAGGAAAATAAAGTAACTTTCTATATATTTCAAAGGTTCTTATCAGACGAATGGATGGTTCTCAGAATTTTAATAAAAAATGGATCGAATATGAAAATGGATTTGGAGACCTCAGTCGAGAATTTTGGTTGGGTAAGCCTAGTAAAATAAATTCTTAGTTGATTTTTTAGCATGGTTATTTTCTTTATATAGACTTCCAACTTTTCCCTTCAGGAAACCAATGATCATTTCTGAGATACATGCATGTTTTAATACATAACAATACTCTTCCGGTATTGATGAACACCAAAGGGTATATTTTGTTATTTAGTTGACTCTTTGGTCAATAATTTTAACTTCCCCCATAATTTGTCAAATAGTTAATATTTTTCATAATTTTGTTATTTTTACTGAATTTACTGTAATTTCATGGCTGTATAACTCATAAACCTGTATAATTCCGTTGATATGTTAAGAAGTTATTGTAACATGAATGATAATTTTTCCTTTGATCTTCGAGTGAGTTAACTTCTGCTATTTTCAGAGCAGTGGGTTAACTGAATGAATTTTTTAGTTATTGCACTCTCCAGTCCCGTCGTGTGTCGCTTGTCATAGGAAAAGCAAAGAATGGGAGGAGCTTAGACCAGTGCTCTAACTTCCATCTCAGAAGTTGTTATTTCACAGTCTAGCTCCGCCTCCCCGGCCTAGTAAACAATGAAATCACTGACCACAACAATATATAAAAAAAAATCGGGAAAGGGGGGAGCTTACCTTAACACTAGCCAAACTTGTAAACCTAACCCCTAAAAGAAAATTGGTTCCCTATACTTGAAACAAACGAATGCCCGAGGAGAGCTACAAAAAAGAAAAACGTGGTCTATAAACGAAGAGGCGATATTGATAAATTGGTGGATACTTGTTTTTATCGTGTCAAAATAAATATTCCAAAAAATTGTCACTGGATTTTTAGTCGTTTTATTTCAAACACTTTTTAACGGTACATCTCCGTGAATGGAGCATGCATAAAATATTTACCTCTGAACCTTACGCAATTACCAGCCCATCTATTAATCGATCATTTTCATGGTGTTGGGAAAGGCAGCATACTAGTTAGTACCTTCACAATAAGTTTAAACAACGTTTCCTTATTTTGCCTCTTCTAAAACTACACGTCCTATGGTCTTCAATCCTTTATGAAAGTATCACGGCAACAATTTATTTACATTAAATCAAATCCTACTAAAAAATCCAATCCATGAGTTCATTTTCTGAAAATAAGAGACGATTTGTCATAAAAAGCGCCACTATCTTATTTACACATTTGATTCATGAAAAGTACAGATAACTTCAACCTTTGACAAGTGTCATCGCCCATTAATGTTACAAATCATATATAGCCACGCCTTACTCATTAATATATCTAATCCACTCAAAGCTACGCTTTTCGTGAATTAAATACGTTAATTCGTAAAAGGCGTACTATATATATAACTTAAGAAACTATATAAGGTTCCAACTCCCTCAGACAAAGTATTAGATAGATTTGGCTATTCTTTTTAAGTCCCTTTTGATCATATACCTCCTAACGTTTCTATGTATTAATACACCACTGGCTTTCCACTGTTAAGGCTTAAGCGTTCCTGGTGTATGTAAATCCAGAAAAAGGCGTCGAACGCACGAAATTTCTTAAGTGTTATTTTCATTTTCTAGCACTTGGTCATCACCACTACTGGTGGACTGTTAGTCTACTAGTATATCACCATCTCAGTAGTAAGTGCTTTGGTAACAACATGATTTATAACCTACTTTTCCAAATTTCCCGTTGATATATTAAGAAATTATTAAGAAAATAAGATTTCAACACTCGTGCAAAATTGACCTTCGATGAATTTGGCTATTCCTTCCTGTTATATTTTGGTCATATAGCTCCTAATGTTTCTACGTATATGTACATCCCCGTCTTTGAATGCTTAGGTTTGAATATTCCTGATGAAGGTAAGTCCAGCTTTTCCAACTAAAGAGATTTGGAAAGTGTTATTTTCATGTCATAAAAAGGGTATATCTGTATCAAAACCGGCATTGTTTTATTAAAGTACTAGTATATATATTCAACATTTAATTCTGAAAATCCAAGATAAGTTTGAAATACATGTTTATATGATTTTCGGGTCAAATTTGCCCCTAATCGTACTGATCCAAAGCGTCATGTTTTGTGCTACATTGTTATACTAGTATATCAAATAAAGCTGTTGTGATATGAAATTGTTTTACGCAGCTTATGGCCCGATGTCTTTGGTGCGATTTGTTCATTTTTTTGGTGTTTTGTGTAATAATTTGTAGACTGATGTTAGTCTTTTCGTCGTGTATGTTTTGTTTGTTTTGCTTCAACTATTGATTTTTGATTTTTCCTATTCTCTTGTTTTTTTAACCACTCTGATTGCTAATTTCCACCGTAGTCTTGATGGTGTTGTGTTATTATCTTTGTCCTTTGTTGGGCTATAAATAATAGATTTTATGCCATTACTGAATCAGTTTCATATGTAATGTATGAATTACCCCTGCATATATTTTTGTAATAACATGTGTAACAGTTATCAACACAAAATATCATAAAAAAAAATTGGTCTGTGATGTAAGTGTTTGAGTTCATATAGTTGAATATTGTATTTGCAAAAGCATACAGAACATGCTATGGCAATACATAATATATATACAATGTGACAAAAGACTGACAACAGAGATAACATAACTAACACTACTAACCAATAATATCAGATCTAGCTTTCCATGCATTCTTTAAATAGTTACAGAGCTTAATTGTAAGCGATCTAGAATTAGCTTTCAACAAACAAGATAGTTTAAAAATATTAGGCCATGAACAATAATAGCGTGGCAGAAAAAAAATTCTAATTGCCCTATATGCTGGACATACCAATACAAAATGGAATTCATTCTCAACACATTGCATTTTACAACATACACATAAACGCATTTCTCTTGGTATATCAGAGAAGCGACCAACTTCAACATTTAGTTTCAAAGTACCACTTCGTAGTTTCGTAAGAATGTGAACATTATTAATGTAGCTTACATAATTCTCAAGACAAAAATCAAACTTTATACTTCTATATGCACTTAATTTCTCAGTCACATATATCTGCTGACCATTTTTGTAGATATTGGTCTTTAATGCGTTTCTTTATAACATCAAACGATATATTAATATTATTTTGGTCAATCCAAATATGGTTTATTCCAAGACTAAATAAAAAATCACGCACATTAGATGCCCAATTAATTTTACCTTGATTTGCATAGTCATATAAAATTTTATATACATCATATACAAAAGCTGGTTTATATATAACAATACGTAACCAATACTTTAAGATTAATTGTTTTCTCAAAACATACGTAGGTAGATGACCAAGCTCGCCACACAGAAAACTAATAGGAGCACGTTTACTTAATTTTAAAACAAACCTAAAAAAAAAAAACGATTATGAATAATCTCTATGTCGTTGGCGCGGTGAAAACCCCATATTTCGGAAGAATAGTTCAGTACTGATCCAACCATACTGTCGTAAAGAAGACATTGTTGATGTGTAGAAATGTAGATATTATTCAAACAATTTAAGAGTGACGAGAGAGCTCTTGATCCTTGTTGGGACAGTAGTTTTTGTGTGTGTAAGAATTTCCCGTTAAAGTGTAGCAACATTCCAAGGTAAACGTAGGAATTTTTCTTGGTTATTATATATGAAACGATTATTTACAGGTTGCCATCCATTTCTGAACACAACTACTTTAGTTTTATCAGTGTTTACTTCTATGTTCCATTTTCTACAATATTTGGATAACTTGTCAAGTAACTGTTGAAGAAGTTCGGCAGATTTGGCAAATAAGACAGTATCGTCTGCAAAAAGTATCAAATAGATTAAAAGTCCATTCAGGTTCACTACATCTTCATTATTTGTAATAGTTATATCTTCAATAATATCATTAATAAAATAGAATAATAATACAGGAGATAAAGGTTCGCCTTGTTTTACTCCTAACAAATTGTCAAAGGCATCAGAAATAAGTCCACCAGATCTTACTCGGAGACGCACAGACGCATAAATTGATTAAATAATGGCCACAAATTTACTGCTGACACCATTTCGAAGTAATTTATAAATCAAAATTCTCCTGCTTAATTTATCGAACGCTTTTCGAAAGTCAACGAAAGCGCAGTATAGTTTCATCCTTTGTTGAAGAATATGTACAATTATACCATGTAGAACAAAAATAGCATCAATAGTTGAATGTCCAGGACGAAAACCAAATTGATTGTCGATTAGTTTATCTTCGTCTTCGGACCAGACTATTAATCGAGTCGTCAGAATAGACGTGAACAGTTTTGATAAGACGCTCACTAAAACAATGGGTCGATAATTATTTGGATCGGTCAAATCTCCACTCTTAGGAACAGCAATAACAATACCATCTGCCCGAGTATCAGGAAAAGTTCCACTTTCAAAAGTATAGTTGAAAAGTTTATTTAGAATTGGAGCAAAAAATATTGGACTTGCATCAAACATTTCGCTGATAATTTGGTCATCTCCCGCGCTTTTGCGCAATTTTAGTGTTTTTTATCGAATTCACAATTTCATCTTCAGTAATTTCAGAGTCTAGGATACCTATATTTTCAAAATGATCATTATATATCAAGTTCAATACTTCATTACACCAGTACTTATAACCTTCCATCCTTTATGGGTGGATTTTACATAGATAAATAAAATCGTATAATATAAGCAAAATGAGGATGTTTAATTTGATGTATGCCTTTTTGTGCTTCTTCGTTACATTTGTTTGTTTTTATAGTGATTAAGATGATAACACAATGTTGACTGCTGTACCCCTATTTTTGACATTTTTACCTATTGTGTCTGTTTGTTTTGTTCACGCATCGTTGTCAATATAATGGAATTTGATGCGACTGTCATACAAGTGAGAGGTTTAGCTAGCTATAAAACCAGGTTCAATCCACCATTTTCTACATAAGAAAATGCCTGTACCAAGTCAGGAATATGACAGTTGTTATCCATTCGTTTGATGTGTTTGTTTTTTTGATTTTGCCATTTGATTGGGGACTTTCCTTTTTGAATTTTCCTCGGAGTTCAGTATTTTTGTGATTTGACTTTTCATTACAAAGATCAGGTGGATTTTCGCCGAGAATTCTTTCGAAATGTTTAACATAACACCATTTTCAACTGTGCGTCGTGTTCCATTCGTAGGCCTGATAGTGGACCAGAATTTTCGTGGGTCAGTTTTTGCAATGTCACAAAGTTCAACGCCCATTAGCCGTTTATAGTTTACTTGGGCTTGACGTTTTATCTTGTTAAATCGGTTTCTAGCATCGATATACGATTGTCTATTCACACCAGTTATGTGTCGAAAAAAGAAGTTTCGGACTTGGTGAAAAATATGACGCTCTGATTTACACTTTTCATCAAACCAATCATTTGTTTTTTTTTCTGTATTTCTATTGTCTTCTTTAATTAGAACTGATCGACCAAAAAATTTAAAAGCACTGTCATATAATATACGAGTGATCTCCCCTACAGCTGAATTCAGATCGTTTTTTGAAGAGATGTTGTCTACCAATGAGAACAACGCACTACGCTGTGTTTGTAAAACTTCCATGTAATCATTATTCTTATTAGAATCCCATTTTATATACTTGTGTAGTTTTGGATATTTGTTCTGTGGACGATTGTTTGAGAAATTAAGTTGAAAAATTAATGTCGAATGATCGGAGAATTCATTAAATTGCAGCACATTAAAGTAACTAATTAGTTTATAGTCGATCGGCGATACCAGTAAGTTATCGTTCACGCTTCGTCCTCTACTTATACAAAAGGTAAACTTTCCATATAAATCGTCCCCAAGTCTACCATTAGCGACAGTAAGTCCAGTATTATAGCAAAGTTGTATAAGCTTACGACCAAAAGAGTTCACAAATGTGTCCATGGAACGTCTACATGCTCAACGCTCTCGACATATTTATCTAAATTATCATCACACAAAACATCACTAAGTTCACCTACTCGACTATTCAGATCCCCACATACAAATATTGATCCCCTCTCATTATATTCAAGAACAATGTTTTCAATAATTTCATGAAAATCGTTGTCACAGATCTGATAATACTTAGATTTTTCGTGTGGAATGTAGGAAAAGCATATATATATATATCATTGGCAATGGTGAAAAATTGTTTATTCAATTTGATAAGGACAATACCACAGTGCAATTTTCTTTCTACCGAGATACCACTACATAAAAAATGTCTACAATAAATGGCAATACCACCTTCATTTCTTGTACCTATATTAGTGCTACGATTAATGCAAGATATATTTACAAAACCATCTATTTCTACTATGTTATTATCATTTAACCAAGTTTCACAAATAAAAAGAACATCATAGCTGTTTACTAAATTAAAAAAAAATCGTTGTCATTATATATCGAGTTGAGTCCATGAACATTCCAGCACAAACATTTCAAGTTTTCAAATTGTTCTCTGAACGAATCCTATGGAACGTATTCTTTTCCTCCAACGTAAATTTTATCCCTCACAAAATATGCTTTAACATTTTCATCGCGTAGTCGCTTCAGTGTCGGTAGTTTTTCTTTTTTGCGTTTTTGGATCTCTACTGGCAACTGCTCTGAAATTCCGTAATTAGATCCTTTCAAAATTTTAGCACTTTTTTTCACCAGATCTCGACTATCAAATGAAGCAAATTTTACAAGAATAGGTATAATCTGTTCACCCTTTTTGCCCAGACGGTATGCATCTGTAATATGTAATCTAACAGAATTTCCGATTAAGTTTTTCATGACAAAACGCGTTGATTGTTTCAGAACAGTTTTCATCTGTGGTTTCAAGAATATTATAGAAAATAAGATTGTTACACATTGATTTCATTTGAACTTCAATCAACTCGTTCTGTAGTCTATCATTATCCCTTTTCATATCATTGAGAGATGATATAATATTTTGATCAACTTTGGGTACATTAGAGTTATTACTTTTTAACTGTTTTGATATTTTATCTAACTCTGTTTTTAAATCGGAAAAATTCTTGTTTTGTGTATCGTGAGCGTCGCTCATCAACTGGGTACTCCTCTCTACTTGGTCCAAGCGATCGTCTAACGATTTCGAACCTTGCTCTAATCTTACAACTTTTGCGTTTAAGGAAGAAACAAACGAGTCGATTTGGTCAAGTTTATTTAGTTTTGTATCCATTTTGTCCATTCTCTGAAAAAGTTCATCGATCCAAATTGGGCGCTGTTGTAAAGTTGTATGTTGGGTAAAGGGTGATATATTCTGTATGGGTGGTGGGTACATTCCGGCGTTCGGGCTTGAGCATAACTTTTGGTTTTGTGTCGGGAACATAGGATTAAGACATGGGATTTGTGTATAAAAAAGGCTTGCATCTTGTGAAAGATTTGGCTGGCTCATATTAACATTTGCATTTACTCCACCGTAACGTGACTGTTCAATAGGTGTTTTGAATGGTTTGTTTACACATATATTGTCACATGTAATTTCACCTTTGTTGTCACTTTTTTTGAGAATCGTTTTTATTCTTCTGTTTACTTTTCTTTTTTGATGGCTTCTTTGTTTCTTGGTTTCCAGACTCATTTTGTATACTTATATCACTAGTATTAGTTCGTTTAACACCTTTTGGAGGCATATTTTCACAATTTTTTTCACATTTTGGCTCTCCTAGAAAAACTCAACTACCCGCCATATGTCACATGATTGATGTAGTTGAAGACCCTACATTAGCTACTGTCAAGATAATCATTAGAAATGATTTACATATGAAAATTAGACATTAGACAAATATTCGTACTAAAAAGTACAATATTTCATAATCATCGCAAAATAAAATAAAGAATATTTTTCAAGGGATCTACCACCAAATTTCTTCAGAATGGGTAGGTGTATAAATAAAGCATCTGTAAGAGTAATATCTGTTTAAAATTCAAAAGTAATTGTGGTAAATTATCTTAAATACTTGAAGGAAACAAATATCTGAATATACTGACATCGATTGAAAAAACTGAAATGAGAGTCGATATGGAAAATTTTAAAGGTGGAAAGAGATTTGCCAAGTACTCAACATTCAAGGTTGGAGATGCTGCCTCGAAGTATATACTGAGCATCGGGGAATTTTCTGGGAATGCTGGTAAGAAGGTTTAAATGTCAGTAAAAATGACCTAGAATTCTTCAGATTGCCAGTTCTAAATTTATATAGGACCAGGAGAGGAAATATGAATCGTTCGTATTGGGTAACACACTATCCGATATTTAGTCTCATACTTTTAAGGTCTTTCAACTTTATATTCTGATCGACCCTGTTTTGGGAGTTACATTTTTTTCTTTTATTTGCTTATCACTATTGTGCAAATCAGTACAATTCTTATAAAAATATAAAACAAAATCAAAAAAGAGTGAAAATGTAAAAAACTAGATTCCTGGCTGTTTGTAATATTTGATATATGTTTTTTATTTCAACATATGTACATATGAATAGAAGATACAACAACTCTAGGAAATTGTAAAATCAGAAAAGTTACGTAGAGGTTAAAAATAACCTAGAATCCTGACCCAATTCAAATATTCAAACCGGACGTCCGCTTACGGTATTGAGAACATTGTGTCAAGATCCCAGGCTAAGGTCAACAATAGATATTATTAATCTATGTAAGTGATAAGTTCTTAATCGGTCAAAGTAGAGACAAGTTTTTAATTATTAAACGCAGACTACGAAATTTCTGCAAATCAACATTTGATTTATTTAATTTTACTTTTCCAGGTGATGCTTTTGGATCCAAGAATCACAACGGAAAAAAGTTCACTACACCTGACCAAGACAATGATACATGGGGCAAAAGCTGTGCATTTATGGATAACAGAGTTGGTGGCGGTTGGTGGTTTAGTGCCTGTGACTATGTCTGCTTCACATTATCCTATGCAAATAATAAGGAAGGTCTATCTGGAGAGGCGCTTATTCAATGGCAAACATGGAGGGGTTCCGAATTTTCTCTTAAACATGCTGCAATGATGATACGAAGAGTTTAATTCTTTCATGAAAAATAAAAACATGTTCTTTGATTCATTAATTCGATTTAAAATTATTTATGAAATCTTCTTATATAAGTATTGCATGAGTAATTGTTGCTTGCTTACCGTCCAGTGGCACATGTTTCATGTATAGCAATGACAAGTATGAGAATTGACGTGGAATGTACAAGTATATAATACTTTAGCTTGTTGCATCATTAAATAAAAATAAAGACACATTAGAACCATACATATTGTAAAAAATATGTATTGACATCTAGATGTCATTTTTCTGCCACTGGTATGCTGCTTCTCAATGACGTATTCCACACATTCTTTAATCAATTATCTATAAAATCAAACACAAACCGCAAACATGAACATGCATTTCAATACAAAAAAGTTATGATAAAAAATATTCTTTTCACCAAAGAATCTATTCCAAAATTTTAACTTGTATACAAATTTATTTTCATATAACAAATACTTTTTTCAAAAAAACTTAAACCAAAAAAATATCAACTGCTTTATCCATTTCTCAATATTGTACAGTGTAAAAGTCTCCGAGGTAAATGAGTCAAATACTATTTTATGAACTAATTGTTCCCAAATAATAATTTGTTTTTCAAATTTCATAACAAATCTGTTAATGTGTCGTCATCAAGTATTACGCCTTGAAAAATTCCACCCACCATCCCCTAAGAAAATAACGAGCAAAGCATGGGAGTCGTTAAATTTCTTGGGTGCAAAAACTAATTTAACAATGCTCGGTATTGTTCCTGAATGGGTTTCTGTAAAAACAGAAATGTAAAACGAAATCATTATCAAGATGCAACACTTCAGTTCAGTTTCACAAGATCGATGAATATTTACAACTTAATCAGTAAAAAAGACACAGCAGATACGTATACGTCTGCACAAAATACACAGAAAACTACATACCGAGCAACATGAAACTAAAGAAAATCCGGTGTGATCTCAGATGCTCTAGAAGGTTACGCAGATCCTGCTCCACTATTGACACTCATCATGTTGCTCTTAGCAAGTAAAACATGGGTGATAAGTCGCATTCGGTGATGTAGTAATTGAAGAAGAGATGACGGGATTGTGACTATGATAATTGGAACATACCCATGTCCAGCTGTGACACACATACATATATAATATGGTATAATTTGCAGATGTCACTACACATAGGCAGACATATACATATAATAATTTACAGTGATTTTATGCTTCTAAAAATAGATTAGCGAAATCCGGATATGGTGTACAAAAACCTTTGCACCTTTTTTTTGTGGTATATCATCTTTTCCGCAAGTTTAGTATTAAATTTATAATAAGATCCATTTATTACATCTGTGATCCGTTTATTTGGCAATCGCCAATGGCAGTCAACAGGGTTTAAGAACATTTGTTGTTCGACCTGTTAGTCAAACCCTGCTGACTGCCATTGGCGATTGCCAAATAAATTGATCACCAAATGTAAAAAATGGATCTTACATATTAAGTTAATACCAAACAGAAAACAATAAACTAGCGGAAAAGATGGTATTCCGCAAACATGAGGTGCAAAAATTTGTACACCATATCCGGATTTCGACAACTAATGTCTCTTCAGTAATGTTAGGGATCGAAACGGTATTTGGAAGGCCATATAATTTACCTCAATTTATGATAGACTATATATATATACATAGTCGTAGAGTGTCACTTGTTTAGACGTACTCATCAAAATAATTATTTCTGTGACTGCATCATACGATCCTTTACGATAGATAATTTAGCCAATCTGCAATCAATTCCATCTTCATGCCTAATATATCATGTACTGTGTTACAACTCTTGATTCTACTGACGAGGAAAGGTAACACTAGGCCACCGAAAGCTGAATTTTTAGTTCAGTCTATGCGGCCGAGTGGTTTAGAGTGATGGACACAGTACAGGCGGTGTTGTCTCGATATCTCAATAGCATGAGTTATAAATTTGCAGATTTAACATTGTTGTGCTGATATTCAGAGTAATTATGTATATATATATATATGTATTTGGTGCCACGATATCTCAGTAGCATGAGTTCGAATCCCGGCCAGGGAAGAACAAAAAATGTGCTTCCGCAAATTTACAAATCTAACATTGTTGGGCTGTTATTTAGACGAATTATGTATACAGAATGTGTTATCAGCCTTGTATCACCATCACTGGTGATCCGATGGATAAAATCTGTCGTAGAGTTGTCACTGGTTCAGACGTACTTATATATATATATATATATATATATATTACCTTTTTCCCAAAGCTGTCACCCGAAACACTGTACAAATAGTATCCCGTACAGTCAAGCTCTCAGAGTAAAGCGGAATTGATCCTCTGAGGGGGGCTGTCAATAAACGGTTACAAGAACTTCGCGGTTTTTTTTACCAAACGAGGTTTTAAGAAATGGGATATAGATAAGGGGTTTGCGCGTGCTAACAATAACAGCCGCAATGACCTATTACAGTACAAACAGAAAAGGCGAAGCCAAATAGTTCCGTTTGTTTTAACATACAATCCCGCCTTTACTTACCTTTCCGTTTGATCTGTGCCAATTGGAAGATTATTGCCAAACATCCAAAATTATCCAAGATCTTTTTAAAACCTCCTGTCTTAGCTTTTCGGAGACCAGCAAGTGAAAGACTGATTTGTGAGAACTGATGTCTCCTCTAATAAAAGCTCGTCAACTGCAGGATGGTGCAAGTCGTGTGGTAACAGACGATGTCGGACTTGCCAACAAATACTGAAGACTCAAACATTTACTTGCCACTCCACTGGGTCCGTATACACTATATATATTGCAATGTAACTTGCAAAACCCAAAGTGTTGTATACCTTCTTTAGTGTCGATGTGGCATGCACTATGTTGGCGAGACAGAACAGCCATTCAACAAACGCATGAATGGTCATCGAAGTGACTACACCTGCAAGCCCGACCTCCCCGTAAGTCGTCATTTGAGATCACCTGGGCACGCCCAAGCTGATCTAAAAAACCTTACCATCACTATCATAAGACCACAACGAGGATTGGTCAAGGGCCGACAGACTTGCTCTGGAAAGTTATTGGATAAGAAAGTTAAGGACAGTTTCCCCAGAGGGCATTAATGAAAAAAAAAATAGAATGAGTCCCTACCATCACTTGTTTCCAGTAACTCAAGCTTTGTACAGGACTCTTACAGTTTTGAGGAATTTATTCCTCCTCCCAAACATCAATATTGAAAAAAAATAACAAGCGTATTGATTCGTGATAATTTGAATAACGATCAAGATTACTATTACATTGTGAGTACCACATGTCAAGATAAGAACCATTTGACATCTTACTGATGAAGGATATTAGTTATCCGGAATTTTAAACATTTGTTCATGATTTTATTATTTTTGGTGATGTTGTACCCTCTTAGATTTGTTTATATTATATATGTTATAATCGTCAACTAAACCATCATCAAACGAGAAACGAGAAAGACTTATGAACCGCATCAACAAACGACAACCACTGAACATCAGGTTCCTGACTTAGGACAGGTGTAAATAAATGCAGTGGGTTTAAATGTTTTAATAGGCGCCAACCTTTACCCTACCTGAAACAAAAGTGTAACATCACAACATAGAAAGACACACTAGATACATATTTACAACTATGCAAAAGGGTATAAAAATTGGGATGAAAATAAATAAAGCATTCAAAGGTCCCTGTTTAGAGCGGCAGTATTTGGCTACCTTAGCCTTTATGTAGTAGCGAGCACGTTTTGACCTTGGGTACCATCTTTTTTAATTTTTTGCTGAACAATTTCGTATTTCAAGGATCTGGAAAATGAGTAAATTCCGTAAACAATTCTGTAATAGAAGGTGCACAACTTCAATATGTGTACAACCTGTTCCTGAAGTATTAAGGATTTATTGTATGAGGAATTGATTACACAAAATTGGAACTGTGTTTGTAAATTTTGCTGAAAGTGACTAAGTAAATTATATCAAAGAATGAACAAATTCTATAATAGAGGTACACAAAACCACGACCGCCTGAAATTTAATACTATAAACCAGTTTAGCAATACTGCCAAAAAAGTTCATTTATGAAATGTTTAGTATAAACAGCAATGACAAAGTCAGCAAAGCGATTGGACAGTAACATTTGAATATCATCGACGTCAATGTAAGATTTGCATGGGTAAAGGCGATATATCTAACAATACTAGTATATGGTTTAAGTCACTTATCTACGATTTGATTTTTCTGTTGTTTTTTTAATGAATGGTTGAAATTTTACTCACTGAAAAACGTGTTTTAATTCAAAGATCATACACTTGAGTAAATTAAACTTGACAAAAAACTGAATTTCAGCTGACAGAAACCTAGCATTATTTAAGTACGACAATTTTTTAAAGACAATGTCAACAAAAAATATGCTGAGCATTTTTCAAGTCCTGACTTGTTTAATAACACGGTCGTAGTTGGTATTGTACGCACATTTTATCAGTAATGCACATTAGCGCAATACTTTTAAAAGTTTTCTTCATATTTTCCAGGTGTTTGATTTATGTAGAGACTGCAGAAAAAGTTCTAAATATTTTGACAACTGGAGAATATAGACACATAGTGTCTTCAGGTATGAACACAATATATTAATTGTAATTACTCAAAATTAAAGCGTTGTATACTTACGTTCAATTCATACCTGCAATTCAATGAAATACGACTTTCTAATATAATAGACTTTTTGATTTTTTTTGCAAAAAAAACATAGAAGATTTATTGGACTGCATACATTAACACTTAATAAAAATATTATCACCTGATTCAATTGTACTAAAATTTTGTTATAACCAATATCATTCAGCAGAGTTCGTTATTTTAAGGATGTAGATTATGCTCTTATAATGTTTTGATGTAAGAGGAGAAGGCTAATTGAACGTTTCCGATGTAGTTCATTGAACTTATAATCATAAAAAAACATATAATTATAAGTTATATAGATATAAGAAGATGTGGTATGAGTGCCAATGAGACAACTCTCCATCCA